AAAAATTTTAAAAGTCAATGATAGTTAAAGTTTCTAAATTTTACATGAAATTTACATGCTACTTATTTATCCATTTATTGGTTTGGGGGATACTAGTAATCAAACTTTGGGCCTTGCACCTGCCAGGCAGATGCTGTGCTGCAGAGCTGTATCTTCAGGCCCTTGCATGCTTTTTAAAACTTTATTACACTTACTAAAATTTTCATTTTGTAGATTCAGTAATGCTAAATTGCTTGTTGGGTTTAGTAGCCTCTTGCATCAGTTCCTGTAACTGTCTAATCTATTCATCACAGAAGTCATTAAGTATTTCTTCTGAGAGGGCGGTACCAAAACATGCTTTTCAAGCTGCATTTTGTCTGTTTTCGTTAGCTTGTTGCCTTAATGCTGCTGCATAAACATAAGTATTCAATATAATCTTAGATAGAAACTAATGTTTTCTTTTCCGTGCTGCCCAGGCAGGGTCCATACGGTGTTGTTCTTGATTTCCATGGTAACTTAATGAGAAACTTCACAATGTCCGGAGTCCTTGATGTCTGGTCTCCCAGGGCTTTAAGATCCACAGGCTGAAGCCGGTGTAGCTGCAAAATGCACCTGTACAGGGCCCGGACTCGCGCAACGTGCCGCCCCGGCATGGTACCGCCGGTGAAGCCCCATCGGCGCCTGCGCAGAATGGGCGCGCGTGCGCCCCCACTCCCGCCCGAGGTCGCCCCCTCAATTTTCAAAGTTTAAATATTCAGGCATATGGAGGCCCGGGAGATGGCTTGAGTAAGTGCTTGCGTGGCAAGCACAAGGTTCTGAGTTCAATCCCTGGTATCACAAAAAATAAATATTCATCCATATATTTGAGAAAAGTTTATAAATTCTCATTTCAATAATATTTTATCAAAAGAAATAAGAAAGATGAAATAAATAGTAATTTTGTGTTAATTTGTAAGGATGGAATATTTCCAACAGAATGAAATCGTTAGTATTCTTTATGCTCTTTTACAACATTTGTAGTTACTATTTTTTTTTTTTTTTTTTTGGTGGAACCAGGGATTGAATTCAGTCCCTTGCACTTGCCAGGGAAGCACTTATTCCATTGAGCAATCTCCCTGGTCCCTTGTAGTTACTATTTATATAATTTAAAACAATTCTTTTCATAAATAAAAGTGAATATCCAAATTACTACGGAAAATGGAACAGAATCATCCTACTTTCTTTCCAAGTTTAGTTTCAATAGTAACACAGTATTCTAATAAATTATGCATGACGACATTTACATTACATTAATTAGAACCTACCTTGTGACTTATCAAAGAAATAGGAAGAAAAAGGCCAATGCAAGCATCAAAATCAAAAGCTTCCTATCAAATGTAAGGTCTTGCTATTCAAGTTAGTCTTATAAAAGGTGTCCACCTGATCTTCCCAGATTCATTATATAATACATTAATTACTGTTACAACCCATGCAGAAAGGCATATTCTCAAGGAACTTCTCTGAACCTGTTTCTGTCTGCCTGTGTGCCTGTCTGTCTCTTTCAGTAGCAGGGATTGAGTCCAGCGCCTCTGCACTAAGATGCACCCCCAGCCCATACCTTTTTTATTTTGAGACAGGGTTTCACAAGTCACTAAGTTTCCCAGGCTAGGCTTGTGATCCTCCTGACTCTCTCTTTCTCAGAATGCTGAGCTTACAGATGTGTACCATCACATTTAGCTTCTAAGTCTCTTCTTACTGTTCCTGCCATTCTTCCCTCTTTGATCACAAACAATGATAAAAGCTTTCTTGAAGTGAACATTCACCTTCTGCTTTGCTGTTCGTTCAGCAAATGATCACCAAGCTCCTAATGTGCATCCAGACTCTGTCCTAAGTACTGGAAATTCAGCAGCAGTCAAAATAGTCAAATCCCACATCATGGAACTTATACTTTAGAAACTTGTTGAACATGTTCCTTAGTCTAGCTGTGACAGAATGAGAGCCTAAAAACATTAGGAAGAAATAAAAATGAAAAATGATGGGGCCGGGGAGATGGCTCAGTGGAATAAGTGCTTACCTGGCAGGCAAAAGGGCCTGAGTTCAATCCCTGGTTCCACAAAAAAGAAAGAAAAGAAAAGAAAAGAAAAGAAAAGAAAAGAAAAGAAAAGAAAAGAAAAGAAAAGAAAAGAAAAGAAAAGAAAAGCAAAGCAAAGCAAAGCAAAGCAAAGCAAAGCAAAGCAAAGCAAAGCAAAGCAAAGCAAAGCAAAGCAAAGCAAAGCAAGCCAGCCAGCAAGCTGAAACAACTGAGGAGGAACAGAGAAGAACCTCGAGCCATTTGCCAATCTGGGCTTCTAGTTTGTTGAGAAAATATGATACTTTTATAGGCACAATTATAAATCTGGAGGCACACAGGTGAGGGTTGCTTCAGTACAGACCATTTTAAAGCATTTTAAATATTACTTTAAACTTTCATAGAAGCAAACAAATTTTTACAGGGCCTCACCTTTGGAGCAGCTCGAAGATAAATGATTCCATCTAATTCAAGACTTTGGCCAAAATGGTTATTCATCCAGTCATGCCAATCTTGATATATTGTCCATTCTGTCTCATTCATACAATCAGATTCATACAAGTTAGATGCAAAAATGTACCTAAAAAAGAATCTTCATTAATACAAATATCATTTCAGAGAGAGAGAGAGAGAATGGGTCTATTAAGTGAACACAAACATTTTCCTAAACTTTGTGTCAAGACAGTCCCTCAGAGAATAGATAATGTGAGGACCTCACCACATATAGGAGAAACATTCTTGGCCAGCAGGTCTCAGACTATGCAAAAACCGCTCAAGTCTTGAGATGTGTCCAGAGGTTCAGGGAAGCCCGAGTACTTCAGGTACTACCATAGTTCAGGAAAAAAATTACAGACTAAATATGGGAACATAAGTCTAAATGTCTTTTATTAAGTTAGACAACAAAGAAAACTGCAAACATGAAGGAAAGCTACTTGTATCACTACCCTTTGTTTTGAAAAACACAACTTTTTATTAAAAGATTATCTATGTTAACATGATTTCTTTTTTTTTTTAAACAGAGTCTAAGTAGTTCAGGTTGGCTTTGAACTATGTACATAAGCTGGTCCCCAGCTTAGACTAGTCTCAAACTAATAGGTCTCTGGCCTCAACTTTCCAAGGGCTGGGATTACAGATATCCACTATACCTAGCTTCCATATTAATTTCTTTCCTTTTCTTCTTCTTCTTCTTCTTCTTCTTCTTCTTCTTCTTCTTTTTTTTTGCGGAACCAGAGATTGAATTCAGACCCTTGCGCTTGCCAGGGAAGCGCTTATTCTACTAAGCCATCTCCCCGGCCCCTCCATGTTAATTTCTAACAACACAATTATCAGCAAGATACAAAGTACTTTGGAAGCCTCAATAACTTTTAAGAATGAAAAGGGGTACAAAACCAAAAATCTGAGAGCCCCTAGCCTGCGCTATCCTGGACGTCAAAAGAATCCTAGCATACACACAGCAATCCTAAGGCCCCCTAGGAAATATTTATCCCCTTGCTCCAGGTGAGAGTTTAGGGCATAGATACAGATTTAACCAGAACAGATGAGATTTTTGTTTTGTTTTGTTTTTGTCTTTTTTGGACAGGATCTCACTATGCAGATCAGGCTGGCCTTGAGCTCACTTTGTAGCGAAGGCTGATATTGAATTTATAATCCTGTCTCAACCTCCCAAATGCTGGGATTACTGTACATACTACCATGACCAGCTAAGAATTTTTAAAGGATTGGAAGAAGGAAAAAAAAACTTGTGCGTAAATTTTAATTAAATGATCATATTCTTTATAATTTCCAAGGAAGTCAGAGGTTATAAATGCTAAAACTTTCCAATGTCATTAAATGTCATTTCCTATCTTAAATCTTCAATTCCTCCCCTAAAACTATTTGTGATCCCCAGGAAAAAAAAGAAACAGAAACAAATCAAGAAAAGAAAAAAAGATGTTCAGTTCTAAGCGAAGACCCCAAACAGCCAAATATAGACCATTTATATATAACTGCCACTGGGCTGGGGATATATAGCTCAGCAGCGTAAGTGCCTTGCTGGCAAAGCCAAGGTCCCAAGTTCAATCCCCAGTACCAAAAAGTAATAATAATAAAATAAAATAAAATAAAATA